TTTATGACACACACACACACACACACACACACACACACACACACACAAACATACAATATCCCGACTCACATTCTGATCTCAACAGATCCACTTTGATCAGGATTGTGCACACAAAAAATATTCTTATTGTGATATTATTACGTCCACATGTATCTCTCTCTCTCTGTGCTGTAGACACAATCACATAATGATATGGACAGACACACACACACACACACACACACACACACACACACACTCACACACAGACAGAGAGTCTGGGTAATGTGCTGACCTCGGTAAGCCACTCCTAAATGTTTATTGTCCAGTGTAGCTAAGAGAGCCGAGGGTGTACCCATCAGCTGCTCTCTCTGTTTTGTGTGCTCTACGCTTTACTACTTTAATGACACAACAAATGATGCAGTAAAATACACAGCTTTTGATTCAGCTGTTTGGAATAAATTAAATAAGCAGCTACGCATTGCTCTAAAAAAGCTTCCACAAAAGTGTGATTAAAAGAAGCTTGTGTGATTGGCTTGATGGGAGGATTGCATGGTACAGATCAATCAGCAGTCTGACAAGTTACTAACAGCTTGACTTCTTTCATACATCCCAACTATACTCAACATTTGCCCTGTGTTCCTGCTGCCACTCTTGCCAATGAGATCTTTCAGTCGGTGCCGTTGCCCCCTGCTAACCATCATTGTTGATTTATTCCCTCGGGCAGGTTTGCCAAAAATAGCAACAGGTACAGATAAAAGATTATATCTCTGAACATCAGACTCTGATGATGGACTACTGCCATTTTAGTTCAAACTCTACTCAGCTTTGACTCTGTTGCCAACTAACTTGTCCCTCTTTCCCCCCCAACATGGATTGCTTTGTTATTGTCCATAAAAGAGCTTGATTAGATTTCCAACACGGCCACCAGCTTCCTGTTTCAAATCCTGTGTTAATGTCATTGATCCGTTTTTTCCAGCAGTCCTGAAACTTGATATTCAAGTTTCAGGAAATTAGATTACCTTTAATGTTTTAAAACATTTTCAAAGGAGTCAACACAGGGGGGAGACAAACAATTGCTCTGAGTCTTTACAAACAACATGATGATACACTGCACATGTAATAATGAGTAGGGACACTGTGGAAGTCAGTCAGAGTTGTGGGTGCTGAGACAAACTTCATAAAATAAAAAACAGATACAAAAACAACCCCTATGTACTACACAGTAAAGAATGAGTAAATAATATGAGTTCAAATATTTTAATTAAAGACTGATCATTTTTTAAATTCCTGATAGTATCCAACGTGTCAAGCATGTGATTGGTTGAATCCATGTAATTATCTAGTAATTTAAAGATTTGACTATGACTACTGATTGATTAGTATAGAATACATGCTCTTATTTGGAGTTTTTGCAAAAACTGGCGTGCAATTCATTCCAAGTTTGACTGAAAAGTGGCTTTTGAAGAATTGACCTCTTTCTACTGACATTAATATAACGACAAAAGACAATAAATAGTGTAATTTCTTCATTTGATAAATCACAAGACATACAATGAGTGTAAATTATGATGAAAAGAAACTTGGACATTTAGTCAAGATTGAATCCAAAATAATTCAAAACACATATATATTTATTTCTATATATATATATATATATATATATATATATATATACATACTGGTGAAGAAAACGACTCTGTTTTTCCCCCGACATATATATTTACCACATAGCAGTATACGTGCGTGCCCTCTTTGTGTTTGCATGAATCCCTGTGTGTCTGCGTGTTAACCCCTCTGTGGCTCACACAACAAAACAATTGAGGCCAAAGCAAAGTGCTGACTGAGTCCAGGCGTGCCTCCCCCCCCCCCCGCCCCCCTCACCCATGGGTGTATAAATGCCCCCACACACATCGTCTCTGCAGACCGTTCAGTGGAACCCTGCGACACACAGTTCACCAGTTTGGGTAGGTCAAACCACTTAACAATACAATACAGTTTCCCAATCTATGGACATGATGTAGTAAGGCTCTCTAATGCACTTTATCAGCTAATAATAATGGGGAGTCTTAATTGGTTGCAAGGAAGACATAGTGGCTTCACCTTTACTGCAAATAAGGGAATCATTTTTTAAACAAATCAAGGAAAGGAGGAGGCTTGATTCTGTAGTCTGTGTGAGAAACCTGGGAGTTAATTGCGCTAGACATTATACAGTGAGGTACAAGTAGCAGACAGGATGAGCAATAGACTGTTATTTATTGTGCAGGGTTGTCTTTTTAACATGTTTTTCCCCGCAGATACTACTGAAAAACAAAACAAAATGGCTCAGACAAATCCCATGCCCATGGGCCCTTGGAAGGTAAGCGTTTGGTGTACACTTTTAAAACTCCATTACCCATGAGCACAGGGGTTCCAATGCATGATCAAGTTTCAATTGTTATGTATTGTTTGGGGGCTAATTCGTTCGACTCACCTTCATTCATCCGTTTTCGTTGTCTTCTGTGTTTTACAGATCACCGTGTACGATCAGGAGCACTTCCAGGGCAGGCGTATGGAGTTCACCGCCAGCTGCCAGAACATCATGGAGTGTGGGATGGAGAACATCCGCTCCCTGAAGATCGAGTGTGGCGCGTACGTACCCACCAAGCATTTTTTTAGTTGCTAGAGCTGATTCAAAAAACAAAATGGATTCTGAAAGTGTGCTGATTTTATATTTCCTTGGATTGTGACATTATTATTTTCCCTCTCTACTTGCAGCTGGGTGGGCTTTGAGCACTCTAGCTTCTGCGGCCAGCAGTTTGTCCTGGAGAAGGGAGACTACCCTCGCTTTGAGGCCTACAGTGGCAGCAACTCCTACCGCATTGAGAGGATGATCTCCTTCAGGCCCATCTGTTGTGCTGTAGGTTTAACATACAGCACAGAGACGGCCCGTATTTCACTTTAGGCTAAGCCTCATCTCAGGTCGTGCTAAACCTGCTGCTCTCCTTGTTTGTATAGAACCACAAAGACTCCCGCATGACCATCTTTGAGAAGGAGAACATGACGGGTCGTCAGTTCGAGCTGAGCGATGACTACCCCTCTCTGCAGGCCATGGGCTGGATGAACAACGAGGTTGAATCCATGCACATTCAGAGTGGAGCGTAAGTCCATCACCACAATGTTTGCTGTGAAGCTCCACACACACCTGCTTTGAGCACCTTCAGCTATACTTACATAACTATTTTAACAATGATTATTTAGATGTATGCACTTAATGAGCATGTTTTTGTTTATTTCTGCAGCTTTGTGTGCTACCAGTACCCTGGCTACCGTGGCTACCAGTACATCATGGAGTGTGACTGTCGCGGAGGAGAGTTCAAGTGTTACCGTGAGTTTGGGTCCCACTCCCAGACTCCCCAGATTCAGTCCATCAGGAGGATCCAGCACTGAGAGGGGAACGCTTCCATCACACTTTCGTATCTCCTCCTCTCCTTCCTCCTGCACCTCATTTCCTCCTTCTCTTCCTCCTCTCCCACCAAACCGCCATCTCCCGGTCCAGCAAATCAAAGCAGGATCCCGAGCTGGACTTCAGGTGCTCACTGGTGTCAGTTGTTCACAGCACTTTTGCATTTTTTAAAGAAACATCCCAAAAGAAAGGAATGATGTAAGAAAGACAGAAAAAAAGGAATGACAGAAATGAGAGAAAAAGCTGAATCAGTGTGAAAGAGAGGCCTCATCTGCTGGGGTTGGCTGCAGAACGGTGAAAACACCTCAATGTATTTCCTCTTTTTCATCTCCACCATTGATGGCGTCATCATCATCATCGTCATTGTCTTCCACATCAACACGATCACCAGTCTTGCTGTGATACTGTGATTTCCATGACTGCCTGTGATGATGAATAAAGAGAACGAGCAAAGAAACAGAGAGATTTACAATACGAGTGACATGTACCTCAATCACATCTGTGTCTTTCTTTCTATACTGACACTTTGACACCACTGCTGAGCAGCAAAGCTCAAAGACTAATCAACTCATGAAACATGAACTTAAAGGTGAATCGCATGGACTAAAAGTCAAGGTATGAGTGAGATTTAATCTCTTTGAACCCCACTGAACTCATCATGGGGTTATCCAAATACACAGAACTTGATTTTAATTAAGGTCTCAAAGTATGGCAATATGGCAGGCTGAATTTTGGGGAAATAAATTGAAACAATATTGAAAAGACATCTGCAACATTCCCATTTGATTCAATGCTGCAGCCATAAAAATATTAATTAAAAAAACATTAAGGGTATAAATCCCCACACAAACTGTATTTGGGTAGGTTTGACCTGCACTGTGTGTACTGCATACTAAAGCACCTAAACTAAAAGTTTAAAATTAATAAACGGTTCAGTTTAAAAGTCAGAAACTATTTAAGGGGAAAAAACTAAGATTGACAAATAGGCTACACAAAAACTAAAATAGATTAAAATGAGTCCTGTTGTGAGCCACGTCTGTATATAATTTGGGAAATGTATACAAGTCTCAGACTGCCTCACATCCCAACTACTGGATAAGACCCAGAAAAAAGCCTCTTTGCTGTGTACATAACACCTGAGCAGGCGCAGTCTCATATTAGCTTATACTGACAATACTTCTGATCTCTCACAACTGTGAAATGTGTAATGGAGTGTTTTATTTATATGTATTTCTGCTGCTCAAGTAAAAGAACAGTCACCATCATGGAGCTACCTCTGGGAAAACAATTCCCAACCGTTTGTCCTGCGATGAGTGTGTTTCAATCATTAAGCAATGAGCCCATTAGGCCTCTGCTATCGTGTTTCACATCCTAACCCTCGGGATAATAATGAGTGGGCATCCTCGATTGATTTGGTTCTTTAAGTAGTACGCTTGCGGCCAGAAACCACCAGAGAACGCTGTTCTCTTTACACATCCGTGGGACGCTGTGTGACTCGAATGAGAATTTGCGAGCTGTGGTTCTGCCAGCTATTCCTCCTTGGTTACTGCCACAGCCTGAAGTTGATCTGGGCCTCCTTGAAGTAATGAGAGATGAATGTGGGGTAAACTGTGGGATATTCAAGTCATACATCAGGAGGAATTATCACAATTATATACAAATGTATACAGATGGATCAAAAGACCCCAATAATGGTAGAACAGCAGCAGCAGCAGTAATACCAGAATTCCAGTATGAGTGTGGGAAGAGACTGAGTGATGACTTGTCGGTGTTTGCATATGTGAGATGATGGGCATAGTTATTGCCTTGCAGTGGGTAGAGGACGTCAGGCCAGAGAGAGTGGTGATTGCATCAGATTCATGTGCAGCACTGACGAGTTTGAAATTGAGCCACTCCAGATGCAGAGAGGATTTACTGTATGAAGTACTACAAGCACTATTCTGAATCCATCAAATGCAGATAGCGGTTAAATTTGTGTGGGTCCCTGCTCATGTTGGAGTCGATGGCAACGAGAAGGCAGATAAAGCAGCAAAAAAGGCTTTGAAGAGTGGGAGAAATATTGTTAAATTGAATATAAGTAAATCAGAAGCTAAAGTGGTGATTAAGGGACAAATCAAAAAGATATGGCAGATTGAATGGAATAAAGGGAGCAAAGGTCGATATCTGTTTAAAAATAAACCATTGGGTGGGAGTGCAGGGCCTAGTGGACGAAATAGAAAAGAGGAGAGGGTAATGACAAGATTAAGGAATGGAATGGACATACTGGTCTTAACAGTTCCCTCTGTATTATTGGAAAACATAATAATGGAATGTGTGGATTTTGTGATGAAGAGGAAACTGTGGACCATATTTTAGTGTCATGTCAGAGGTACGAGGCAGAGAGAGAAGTATTAAAAAGTGGTCTAAGAGAGGTGGGAGAGGAGAATATAACTGATATATTAAATGAAAGCTTTGGTGAAGAGTGTTGGAAGCCTCTTTTGGAGTTTTTAGAGTCAACAAGACTAGTGAATAGAATTTGAGAATTCTATTTATTTTATTTTATTTTGTTTTATTTTATTTTGTGTTTGTTTGTTTGGTTTTTGTATTAGATAATTACTTTCCTTAGTCCACACTCCAGATTAGTGGGTGGCGATAATGCACCTAAAAGTTGTTTGCCAACCGCCATTAAAAACAAAAGAAGAAGAAGAAGAAGAAGAAGAAGAAGAAGAAGAAGAAGAAGAAGAAGAAGAAGAAGAAGAAGAAGAAGAGGAGAATTTGCGACAGTTGTTTCTTCTTCACGGCCGATGATGACATGTCAACAACAAACATGGCAACCAGCAGCAACTATTGGGAAGGTAAATTATTGTTCCAGCATCTGATTTAAAACTGTCCGTGTGTCCATCTTTTATTGTTCTTCACCGATTTAAATTAAAAGCGTTAAATATGTTCTGTGAGACGTTACGTAACCGTCTTTATATCACCGCTGATATAAAGATATATGTAGCTGATTACAAGCTAACATGTTAGCATGTTGGACGTCGAACTTAAAAAGTTAACGCTATTAGCCGTTGTCAATAATCAACAATCACACTGCGATCTTAAGTGTAGCTTCTCCTTTTAGCTGAGTTAAACTGTTCAGTTTGTTTAACTTTAGTTGACAGTTTGACTCTCTGCTACCTGTTTACATGAAAAAGTTAAGTGTTAACAGTAGAAAAACAAACAATGTGAACTTTCAAGTCATTGTTTTGTTTTTACTTCTTGATCTTTAACCCAGCAGAGATGTTTGCATCTGTTGTCATTCGTTTTTGATCATTAAATCTATTAACTCATTAAAAAAAACACTGTTCACCACTGCTTTCATGTTCTAATTGGGGGACTGTCACACGAGCTGGAGCGTTAATCCTCCTGCAAAGCAAGGTAAATGAGTGAAGATTCAATCCTTTGTTTTATAGTTTCTAAAATAGTTTTAATAAGTTCAACACCTTTACTGAAAAGTGAGAGTGTCCCTTTGACTACAGCATTGTGGCCCCAATGCTGTAAATTCATTTCTGGGTCAAATACTCAAGCCCATGTATTGTTTGCCATCTTAAAAACACATGCCATTCCTTGTTCATACACCTTATGGCCCTGCAAACCAAATACCAACAGTGTCAACGTCAAGCCTCAGCATCTGTCTGCTGTGTGGAGTGATTTTGTTTATGGTGCCTATAGGATGCCTTCTATCTTGTCTCCTCGTTGCCTTCATGCCTTACTCTTTTCTTCTTCTTCTTGTTCCTCGGTCTCCTCACTCAGATTTGCGTAAACAGGCCCGACAGCTGGAAAATGAGCTGGACCTCAAGCTGGTCTCCTTCAGTAAGCTCTGCACCAGCTACAGCAGCAGCAGCAGCCGGGACCAGCGGACGAGAGACAGCAGGTCAGCCGGCCATGCTTCATTTAAACAACTCTTACTTTGGCTGACCTGGGATATAGAACTTAGAACCTCATTTTCACTACCAAACACATGGTTTTGTATTTAACAACGCATTGTTTTTACATTTCGACAGAATAACTGATGTTGCACAATGTTTAAGTAATGATGTTTACTGTTTTTAACGATTAGCAATATCATTCGTTATCATTTTCCTCTTTAATTGTGCTGTTTCAGTCTGTACACTGCACAACTGTTTTTTATATATTTTAAAGGACAAAAGAAAATGAGCTTGAACTTCAGCATCCTTTCCCTCTCATTCTTAAATCAGGTCTGATTCTGTCGGCTCATCTCACGACAACATGCTCGTGGCCATGACCACTGAGCTGGAGCAGCTGTTGGCCGGTGTAAGTCCAATATCACACACATGTGGTCACTAACAGTCATAGTTGAAGGGGTGTTAGGGTCCTCTTCACAAACAGCTGTTGCGGCCTCAAGCCCAGGGGATGGAATTGATGTGATGTCGAATTTGTTTATAATAAATGTTCTGCAATAGAAAAAAAAAAGAAGTGAGCAGCCAACCAAAGCTCCTGTGTTTTATGCTTATTGTAATACATTCACGTTCACTTTGAAATTCATTTGACTGTAGTCTGACTAGACTAAGTGGTTTTAAGATCTCTTACCCCCCCCAAAAATCATTGTTTTTATGGCTACTTGTTTGCATTTTATCTTGTTTTTTTGCAGCTTACTGCAGTCAATGACAAGATGGCAGAATACACGAACACTCCGGGGGCTTCATCGCATAACGCAGCGTTGATGCACACCTTACAGAGACACAGAGACATCTTACAGGTACATACAAGTACTTAAAAGTGTTCCAGCTCCACCTGTGAGTTTAAGAAGAAACTTTTGTGAAATTGTCATACATTTTATCTTTTTTTGTCTTTTGTTTTTCCCATAGGACTATACTCTTGAGTTCCATAAAACCAAAAGCAACTTCTTCAGCCTGCGAGAGCGAGAGGATCTGCTAGGCTCTGTTCACAGAGACATTGAGTAAGCACCTTAATACATCTCTTGACAATAGAATATATTGTATAATGTTAGTAAATACAATATAATCATGGTGTTCTCCGTTTAGCCACAACATTGCGGTTTGCAAGTCTTGTGTAGGACATCTGTGTGTTTATAGATAGGAACTGTTGATGAAAGATTGGCTGAGCCTCTCCTAATGTCACTGACTGGGTATTGATGTGAAGTAGTTTCCCCAATACTGCTTTGTTGAAATGTGCACTTTAATTTTATTTTCCTAACCTCAATCTTGTTTTTATATTAACATTATTACCTGTATGCTTGGGACTCTCCTGTAGACTGATTGTAAACGTTTGAATCCACTCTTATTCTCAAAGTGAGTGATAAGGATGCAGTGATATTTAGATCTGGTCAAATGTATCATCACGTGTCAATCGACTGCTGTGTTTAGCTCTAAATGCATATGCTGCTTAAAATTATGAATTCTATTGAGGCCTTCGAAAAGCTCCACCAAATATGATTCAGACAAAAAAAAAGTTGATGAAAATATATATATTTTTTTATCTTTTAGTGGGGTAGTCATTGCATTCATTTTGACCGATTCTTGACCATCTTACTCTCGTAAGCCTCCCAACTTTATGGAAGTACAACACTAAATCCCTGGATGGAGTACTCTCTTAAGTCTGCTTCATGTTGGCACAGTCAATCTTTCCATCCTCAGGTCCTTCCAACCCTGGTTTTTCGCTACTATGTTTTAAATTTTCATCTTTCCTACCCTTCTTTTCCTTCTTTCCTTTTTTCCATTCCCCTCCTCCTCTGTGGATTTTTGCTATGTTATATTTAACCAGGAGGAGGCAGAAATGTCCAGCTTGTTGCTGAATTCCCCCACCCTTTGATAATCTCCATTCCCTCCATCATGTTTCATCGGCTAATAAGAGGCACCTCCTGTTATTAGCCGATCGCCCGCCCTCTCTCTCCCTCCCCCCCTCTCTCTCTCTCGCTTTGTCTGTATCTCCTGTATCTCTCTATCTGTGTATGCATCTCTCTCTCTTTCTCTGGGGATCTCTTTCCTAAGTGCCTTCTGCAGTAAATCAAACCGCAAGGCTTTCATTCAGCCCAAACTGAGGGAGAGTGGTTACGTCTGGCCTGACTGATACAGAGAAATGCTTCATCAGGGGAGGAGAGGGAGAGCAAGACTGTCAGACAGAGAGGAAGAGAGAGAGAAACAGAGAGGAAGAGAGCGAGAAACAGAGAGGAAGAGAGAGACATTGTCCTGATCTGATGTTGACTGATTACAGTCCATTTTAATTATTCTCATAGAGGTGAGAGATATGGAGGAACAGTGAAGGGGCGAGATAATGGCTGATGAATTGATGATCAGCCCAAATAGGGAGGGGACGGTATAAATAAGAGATGGAGCACAGAGTTGTGGGTTAAGCAGAGCTAATCACTTAAAAGCCTTAACGCAGGAAGTACATAATCAGCATCCAGGCATCAGTTAATAGGAGGGAGTGAATTACCCTTTCAGACTAAAGACTGGCGAGAAACTTGTTTTCGGTGCCGATTCCTTCTGTTCCCCAATTGCAAAGCTGCTTAAAGGGTAATGTGTTGCTTTAGGTTTTTATAAAGCACCACCAAATGGAGCCAGATGTCGCCCAAACAAATACATTTGGCCAGAATGTGTTACTTGGCACATTCACATTTCCCTGAGGATGAATTGTTATAGCTTCGGTGATCTCTTAACTTTTCATCTAGCACCGTTGTTCGGCCAAAATGTCAGTTTGTCTCATACTTTGTTGACCAAATACAAAACAAATGACATTCCCATCAGCCTCAGCCGTACTTTGGGGTAAATGCTAATTAGCACATGTTAGCATGCTAATCTAAGATGGTGAACATGGTAAATATACCTGCTTCACATCTGCATATCTGAATACGGCCTCACAGACCCGCTAGCATGGCTGTAGACTCTTAGTCATGTTATATACATTTTTCTTCATTAGGGCGTCTGGTGGCCTAGTGCAAAAGACGCGCGCCCAGTTCAAATCTGGTCGGGGCCTTTGTTGCGTGTCGTACCTCGCTCGCTCTCGCTCTCGCTCTCTCTCTCTCTCTCTCACCCCTCATTGCTTGTCTGGCTCTCTACTGTCTCTGTCAAATAAAGGCAAAAATGTCCCCCAAAAAAGTGTTTAATTTGCTGCATCTTATTGCTATTTGTCAATCCAATTCCCCATCATTTAATGCTTTTCTCTCTTCCGTTTTTCTTACTCAGGTCCTACAAGAGCAGCGCAGGAGTGAACAACAGAAGGACTGAGCTCATCCTGAAGGAACATGAACATCTCAGAAAGTAAGAGATGTATTATAAAACATGTCACTTGGAACCACAGGTACAGAAGGCCGAGGGCTACAGCCAAAACCCCCCTTATTGAATATTTAGTGCACTAGTGAATTCAGTTCTAACCAATGTAGCCTTTCTTCCAAAACTAGCATGTGAGAGTAGTTGAGGAAGGGAGTGAGTGGGCAGTGTGGTGTTACTGTATGTGCTCTAGTGTTAGTGTGTGGTCATGTGTACATGCACATACTGTATGCATGTTAATCGTTTACTTGACGTGGTGTTAGTCACGTTACCTTGTGGCTTTATAATATGCTTCTCAAGCACTTTCTCATGACTGCACTCAAGTAGAGGAAGATAAACAAACACAGAAAATGAAAGAGCAGAAGTCAAACAGGAGATGTGGTGAGGAAAAAGGTTTCAAACAGCAATGTTCTCAATGTGTTGTGGAACCGTTTAGCAATTTAGTTGTCAAAACGAAAAGAGGAAAAAAGAAGAGAACCAAATGTTTTAAAAGAGATGTCCCGATTAATTTTTTTGAGCCCGGATCCGAGTCCTTTACTTGCCAATACAGAGTCCGACTTATATTGACCTGAATGTTGATTAAATGTGTCTCTAATAACAGCTGGACAACCTACCAAATCGGATATTCCTTATTTTACACAAGCTATTCAGAAACACTCACCATTGGTGTTAAGAAGTCAAGCTCATTCTGCAGAGAGCACCTGACAAACATTAATGACAATACCAGAGATGTTCTTAGTAAATGTATGCAGTACCTACGTGTTTACCGTAGTCACAATTATTATACTTGTATAAAAAACAACATTTTCACACCATGTTACCTTCTAATTAGTAGATGCTATAAAGTTGTTTGTAAGAGATTAAACTGATCAAAATAGTTCAATAAAGCTTTTACAAGAACTCCTTAATGGAGAATGTGTCGTTGCTGCTTAAATCCATGTGATTTGCATCCAACACTACAATCATTTTAGACCGATAACAACATGACTGTGAGCCTTGCTAGCACTGAGCTAAACACTAATGTTAGCCTGTAAACATGCTCATAATGACGTCATGTTTAGTAGCTATAATGTTTATCATGTTCACACACGCTAACATTTCATAATTGGCACTAAACATAAAGTACTGGACAAATTAAAATGTTGACATGATGGTGGGGCTAAATAAAAAGTCAGGGGGATCACCAAAGTCAGTGGACTTCATCCTCTGGGGAGCATGAATGTCTGTATCCCATCCTCTGGGGAGCATGAATGTCTGTACACAATTTCATTGAAAGACATTTCAACCTGGCTGTTCTCACAGATGTAGTGCAGAATGACATCCTTGTTCAAGCGGTCTCATCAATCTCCTTTCCGGTTTTGTTGGATTGTATTTCAGCCTCTGAATCAGTCGATCACAGGATCCTCATTGCTACATTGAGATGGTGGGTTGGACCATCTGAGGCCAGTAGTGCTGTAGTTGCTTTACATCCTCATGAAACAGGGAATTTTCAGTTGGTTGATCAGTTGTCTGATGTTTTGATTAATCAGACTTCTAATAATTTCCCATGTTCCCAGTGCTCAGCTGTAAATGAAGAGAAACAGTTGTTTCCTTTAACAAAAACAAAGCAAGGACAGTTTCATGTGCCATATTGACTTTATTATAATTTTCATTTCTTTCAAATTAAAGCTGATGCATCTCAAATCTGATTTCAAAGCGTGAATTTGTCATTTGTTATGCTTTCGTTGTAAGATTTCCATCACAAGACATAGTTTTCAGCTGAGTGGTTCATGATCTGAGCAGTGGAGAAAGAAGGGAGAGAAGATAGAATAAAAAAACTTGGATTATAAACTAATCTGATGGATGAACAGAACATATTACCACACATTCAATACTGTCTGTGTGGCCAATAAAGCTGTGCTCTTACCTCAGCTGATGTTGATACGGTTCCCTGAACCAATGGATCCTGAGTTCTTACCAACACTAACATTATGGATATTACCGATATTGGACTTGGCTGCGATTCCTCCTATTGAAATACCAGAAATGCGAGCGATTGGAAACAGTTAATCATGCTCACATCGATATGTCCTGTAATGATCTCTGACCATGATTAGCTCCCACCTGTCACAGTGTAGTCGTTCCTCCCTCCGATGCATCCGCGGTTTGTTCCAGAAACATGAATGTCGCTGATGTCACCCAGAGAGACATTTTCTGCAGTACGTCCTGTAGCGAAGAAGACCTCAGAGAGGACGATCCCACTGGAAGTTACAGTTGCACTCGGATAAAGATGCTGAGTTAAACTTACCTCTGACGTTGTACTCCTTCTCAGCGCCCGTCTTCCCTTCGTTGCAACTGATGGAAATGTTTCCGTTGTTGCCGGGGTTGTAAGACACTGGTTGTGCTGAAATGCAGACAGATGAACCTATAAAGACGAATAAAACTGCATTGTTTAATCCCATGGCAGCACTCTGCAGCTGTGACTCTCTGCTGTTACTGTCTGGCTGTAATGTTTTTGACGTTGGACTGTTCTGCATTATCACAGCAGCAGCTTAATGTGTAACATGTCAGTGTAAACAAACAAACTCAATGGAGACGGAGCAGTCGACTCGGACATGAAGCGGAGTTAGAGACACATTTAGTCTGAGATGTCTGATTCTGGTCTGTATTTCACGAGATCATTTATTGATCCAGATTATGACCTCATAGCCACAGAATCTAAAATGGGGGAGAGAGTTTGTTCAAAAGAGTTACAGCAACACATCGTCAATAGTAAAACCACCTCATCATGGCGCCGCCAGAAAATTAATTTCTAGGGATTTATTTGAAAAGTGAGATTGAGTTCTGTGGTTTGAACGTTGTGGATATTTGATATTTTTGTCAGTAGCTTTGCGGCAGGAATAGTAATGTATTATTATCATGTTCTCTTCGCACCATTTGATTTTTAAAAGTCAGAAATTCACGAGTACAATTATATGTGTGGCCATGTGGTTTTAGCGTAGCAACGGGCAGTCCTGATGCGTTTCACAGTGAACCATTAGCTCTCTGGCATAACTGACTGTTGTTCGGCCTCTCAGCCGCAACTAACCAGAAGTGCTTCCCTTAAAAGGATCCGTCTGTGGCACGGACCGTCGTGCTGCTCCAGGTCCAGCCTGCAGCTCGTCCTGTTTTCAAAGCCAGCAGCACAGATGTCTGCCAGTTGTGTTTCTGCCTCACTTGCTGTTTTATTTTTGTGAAGAGTCGATGTTGTTTAAGAGAGAATCTGCAGTGGATGAACACCGTCGTTCAGATATTTCTCTGTGATCTTTGTATTTAACTACAGCTGTACATACATATGTTTCAGCCGACCGTCACGCTCAGACAGGTAGACATCTGCAGCTCATGAAATGCATTTCCGATTGACTTTTGTATCTTTAAACTTTGAACTGTTGCGACAGTGTCCCCTGTCAAGCCAAGTAGGCCAAACCAGGTTTACAAACCAGTGATCGGACCACTTTGTGAAGTAGGAAAGTAGTTACAGCTAGAAAAAGGGTAGTAACTTAATAAAGAATAATAAAAAGCAAGAAGCTGCCTCGCCTGTAAAGAATAGAGAGAAAAAGCCGAGGACAGCAGTAGATGGATAGTGGGAGAGGCGGACGGATAGATGAGGAGGAAGTATAAAGCGCAGTATTGATTTTCGCTCTCGGGATGCACACTGCTGACCTGATAGGGACTGCTCAGCTCTGGACTGAACACTTCATGTTTCTGTGCGTCACTTATCTCAGCAGCTAATGGCGGCTGATGTAAACCTGCGTGTTCTGTCCGCTCTGCTTATATGCACATAAAACTAATAACACAGGCGTCGGGTTACCGTCCTGAGATTCATGCTCTCTATCCGTGGTGAGAGCAGTGGTACTGTAGGGATTAACTGGCTTCTCCTTCGGTGAGGGTTTGATTCGTCCAATCACATCCTGACGTTCACAGGAAGTGCTCCTCTAATGATAATTCACCCAAAGAGCTGTGTGTATGATGGCACCGGCTTTCTTTGTCTCCTGTTGTCTATGTTCTTGGCTCTCAGACCAGGACATGTATATTTATATATTATATTTATATATACAGTGTGTTTGACATTATATCACAAGGTTATTTGTTAAAAGTGATGAATGTTAGATTATGGTACTTTTTAAATGATTTTAGTTGATGTAATTGTTTGTATAAGGCTCTATGAATTAAGGTTTCTGACATTTTATCCTTTTTCTCTCCTTTTTTTATTCTTTTTCATGTCGACAGCTCAGATAGTCTTATTGACAACGCAATAAGGTAAGCTTTATCGCCCTGTTCACTCTCCTCCTCTCTCCTGTTAGTCTCCCTCACTTAAGGGTGAGAGTAAAGACAGACACACACACACGTCACAAGCAAACGCAGCACATCCAGGCCTATTAAAACAGACCGTCATACCAGCCTACTTTGTGGCTCATCAGCTGAAACATTAAACTTGATGTGATGCCTCTTTTCCCCCCAACTAATCCTTCATGGTTTCTTCTTCCTCTAGCATCGCCATAGCTACCAAAGAGAACATCACATTTCAGCGTGGGATCTTGAAGTCCATCCAAACCAGGGTCACAACTTTGGCCAGTATCCTTTAATCACCCGTCCTCCTTTTCTCTTCACCTCACCTTCTTTACGTTGTTTTGTGTCTGAAGCTGGTCTGACAGTAAGTACGACAGTAGAGTCTCTATTTATTCCTCTTCCTGGTTGTGTTTAGAGCTCGGATGATGTATTTTCTGTCTCCTGCTCACTGCAAAGGAAGGCGAGGCCGACTGGGATCTTAATTATTTTCCTTCACCACACCTCTCCTCCCCTCAGATCGTTTCCCCGCCATCAACGGTCTCATCCAGAAAATCAATTTGCGCAAGAGGCGGGACTCTTTAGTTCTAGGCGGGGTGATCGGCGTCTGCACCATACTCCTGTTGCTCTACACTTTCCACTGATTCCTTTACTTTCATCAGGAAAAAAAGAACCAAATATATTCATTGTATCTCAAGACTTAATATTCTAATTTACTCTCCTTAAAAAACTGTTTAAAGAGTGAAGAAAGTATTTTATTTTGAAAAGAAATGTATGTCACATAAATGAAATGATTTGAACTGACTGGAGAGTTTATTTATTTTCTGATTTATGATAAAGTTTCCATCTTTGGTGTTGTATATTGCTGGTTATATCCTATTCTAATGTTTCACTCTTTATAAAAATCTTTGTGAAGTTTGTTAACTGTTGACGTCACACTTCTTTATATCGTGTCGGCGGCGCCTAATAAAATAAAGGTGATGAGCTCACTGTCAAGTTTGTCATGCTCATTCAAGTTTATTTCTGACATGCAGAACTATGGCACAGTAAACCAGTCATACAGTATAAATGTATAAACATCAACATCAGAGTGCCAAGAGCAGTGCATACAGGGAGAACGACCCCATTCATATCTTGCAGTATATTGTAAACGTAATGAGATTTAGAGATCCAGGCAGTTCAGGAGAGTCCGATCAGTTTATCATGGTAGCACGCAAAGCAAGATATCACTATGACTGCAGCAGGGCGTTGTTCAGATAATCGTACGGGAGTTTTAAACTTGATGTAAACAGTGTATGAAATCAGTATATACATCTTCCCACAGTCCGTACTTTAGATGCAAATGTTAAGAGAAACAGGGCAGGCAGTGGCGGCATTACAGAATAGAGGTGCACTGATGCCTTTTGTTTTTGTCTGACCACAAGAGGGTTTACTGATTTATCTTCACATCACGTACTTACTATATGTGTCGGTTTTTTTTAAGTGATGTATCTTTTTTTTTTTTTTTTTTCTTTCCGTCTTTAGGAAATCCTCTTATCTAATGATGTCTTTTTTATAATAAGCAAATGACAGTGCCGTCCAGTTGTCTGTGTGTCAGGCAGGTGTGTACCATTTTAGTTTGGACTATTAGTTACACTTTCTCCTCAGCATGTGCTGTCTGACGATCCGACACTATGTGCAGCCTTCATTTTCCTTCCTTTCTTCCTGAGTTTGTGGGGTTATTGGAAATGAGTGTTGCCGGGAAAAAGAGAAACAACCTGCGACTTCTTTCCTTTCCTTCTTTTCTTTGGTCCATAGCAGAAAAAAAGCAATACGGTGTACACTAGAGTCTCTTCAGCTTTTTTTGCTGTTTCATCCTCAAAACGACATTCATCCACCTCTCTTCTGTGCAAATTTGAGAAGTGAAATGCCAGTCCTTCCCATCCCACAGTTCACTTTTGGGTCTCTTAGAATCAGAAAAAAAGACACATTAAGTTACACATCTTTCCACTATTGATGAGTTTGATGTGTGTGTGTTTCTTTCATACCTATTGTAAACACGATGAAGATGATGACAGCCACACCCAGCAGCATCGCCAGACAGCTGAGCAGCATAGACAGACGCCCATACTTCCTTGCTCCTTCAATATCTCCTGTATGAAGAACAGACCTCGACTAACGGGAAAGGAAAAGGAGTGAGGTGATCAACAATTCATTATAAACGCAGCAGAAGCAAAACACCTGTAGTGTTTGAAAAGCTTACAGCCATATTTAGAATATACTCAAGCATCTCAAGCACAGACGGATTGATAATAGTCTGCATTGTGTTGTTATGAACACAATCAAAGCTTTAAATAAATGTAACACTCACCACACTCGCGTACCACAAAGCACATATGTTGAGCGGCACGGCGGGGCAGAAACAGGACAGCACGGCGAGCCAGAGGAAACTCGGCGGTACGGACCCGGGCGGCCGCGTGGAGGGCAGCGGGCCCAAGCTGAGACGGGACAAGGATTTGGGTTGGGTCGCCAGATGCCCGATGGAGCCCGACTTTAACGGTGATCTGTGTCCGTTCAGGTCCGCATCCAGGGACCGGACGCTCCCTCTGATGTTGAGGGAGAAGGAGTCGGACGGTTTGAGGTTGCTCTCCCCCGTGGGCTCGGTGGTCGCGGCGCTCAGCAGCTTCTCCGTGTCCTGGAAGTCGCTGGGATTGGAAACTTCCCTCTCGCCGAGCGCGCTTTTCCCAAAGGCAGCATCCGTGTTGATAGCCATCACTGAAAGATAAGAAGTCTCCCAGTCGTGTTATCTGTCTGACCGAGCCGCTTTCCTGTGGATGGAGATGCTGAAGAGTCGTGCTTCAGATGTTCTCCATTGTGGGTCATTAGATTATATATTATAAATTCAGGGAGTCCAATACCTTCAAGGCAACCTATTTAATTAAGTAGTCCAACTCCATCAAAATGTCTTATTGATGAGTGAGATGTTATTGATGTCTGAGTTCCTCTCGCGTTTAGTTGGCGTTGAGCGTCCGGACGCACTCCTTGCCTTTTACCCCCCCGCCCCCCTTCTCTATTATGTAGTGAGGTATTACCGCATCCCTTACATCTCCACAGCACATTCCCAGTGTCGGAGGCCTACTTATGCACCAGGCGAGGCGTGTGACAATGCAAAAACAACAATTAAACATATTTTGAAGTGAACACGCGCGATGCGTAAAAGCTTTCCATTTACGCGCGGGGGCATCAGCTGGATCAGCATGTAGGACACCACACAGGTTGTGTGACGGAGAGAGAGAGAGGGATGTAGAGGGCGTAGGTGAACCCCATGAACCACAAGCCTCTCAAAACACGCACGCCGACCGAGGTCCACCTGTAAAGTCTGATTCTGCTATTTTTGGTCGCAGGTATTCAAACTTTACAAGGTGCCCCAATTACACGTTCTCGCCCCTTTAATCTTTCTTTGACCACAAATAATTGGTTAACTACCTAAATTCATTTAGGCTACTTTTACTTTACGTGTATAGGCCTATTTCAGTTTATACTACTTTAATTACCACTATATTATTTGTCAGCTTTAGTTATTGCAGATTAAGATTTGACATAACAAACATATTACCTTTTGGAAAATATCAGTGGTGAAGGAAGTATTCAGATCCCCATCTTAAGTAAAAGTATTTATTGGTTCTTTAAGTACAATAGATATTGACAATAAAATAGAATATTAATACTTATTCCACCACTTACAATCAAAGACTGATTTCATTAATGATAATTATCCCATTTTACTTCAATTATTTCACCACATATTTTATATCATGTTAATCCACATAATTCAGTCTGATTTAATTGTCCTCACCATTCAGGGACACAAGACTACATGGCGCCCTCAGCCACGTTATAGTTTAGTTTTGCACAGATTATCATGCCATCTAGTGGTGCATTTGGGGAAAACACCAAGACCCCGAAAGTGAAGGTTAAAAATTGCAGTAACACCCCAGTTTCAGATTATTTCCCTGATTTGTCCATGTACTGTCCCAATAGTCAGTGTAAACAAAATACTCAAACTATTATCTATTCAGTTTCCTGATGTCTCTGTTCTTTCTTGGCAGCGCAAACCAACAAAGCTCAATCAGGTCTATAAACAAAAATGCTGGATGCACAGTGCACTCGAAAATTACAAGCATTTAATTGAACAAATATGCCGATCAGGCTATTTTATGAATAATTGACACATGATTGAAATAAACTGCTTCCTTTATTAAACCAATTCATCTTACACAGTAATACAGTTAATCAATTAACCTGCTGCTGATGCCAAATAAATGAAGGAGCATTGCAGTGGATATTGGTCAGTTATGAAGACTATTTCACATCCAATGAGTCCTTCCTCAGTCTGGGAAAGTTGGTAGTTTGTGAAGGAATCCATTGAAGCAGCCAGTGATGCATTAAAGCCCTGAAGAAAAATGTTCCCCCTCTGGTTCCGCATCTTTTATGCAATAATATAAGTGGATTCATTCAGTCCTGGCTGAATGTCAACTTGCTGACTTGTTAATTCATGTGAGAACAAACACCACTTTCAGAAGTTATTGCATATCTGAGGCCACTTTTACATTTGAAGAACATCTCAATTTACTCTGATCTTTCTTGCTCCCCTTTAATGGGATCATGAGAGACTTTGAAGTTAAAAGGGGATCAGTGTGACACATTCTTGCATAAATCTATTGTGTGCTTCTTTGTGTGTGCTGTTATTTTTGGACAAGAGAGCCTGTAGTGCTGGTTTGAGTTTTATTGTTCATAGTGTGCAGTTTTGTCCACAACAAAAAAACAAAAAAGTCTGAGAAAATATTTTGTTCTTTACTGTAAGAAACCAAAAACATCATGACAACATGTAAGCAGGTGTTTGTGAGGAAAAAGACCACAAAATAAAACATTCTCTATTGCCTAAAATAAAATACACCTTACATTTGTTTAAAACAGGATTATAAACAGTGGCCGGTCTGACCGAGCGTGAGAAACACCTCCTTCCTCAGTCTTCTTCTCAGCAACCCCCATCCGCTTCCTCTTCTTGAGTCATCCGGGGCAGGGCTGACCAGAGCAGTTCTTCAGCTGGCAGCTTTAGCATGTGTACGGGAACATAAAGCTTGCCAGTGAAGAACTGCTGTGTGTCAGCTATTTGGGGCCAAGTGTGAGGGAGCTCTGGGAGTCAGCCAGAGAGCGTGAGAGTTCGAACCAGACAGCCTGGAGTGACGGACGGCCGGCTTTAAAAAGGCCCAAATGGCGACTCCTTCTCCTTCCTTCATCTGCTGCTTTGGGCTCACATATTCCTGCAGAAGGAGAAGAAGAGATTGTTTTAACTTCCCCTCTAAACTTCCTGCTCCGGTAGCGTGGGTATGAGCTGGCCTGCAGCCAGGCACACACACACACACACACACACACGTACAGTAAGTGGGTGCAGTCGAGCCACAGAGTGTGCGATCAGCTGTGAGTAAGTGGGTGAAATGAGCCGATATGCAAGAACGACTGGGAAGATGCACACAAGATCATGCCTCCGATTACCAGAAGGGATACACGCATCAGCTGCTCAGCTCTGCCTCTGCACGTTACGCAGTGCCAGCAAGATATTACTAGATATTCTCTTATTATGATGCTCAAAATCACAGCCCCCCCCCCCCCCCCCAGTAACCATGGTTACAAACGAGTGAGTGAGAGGGCGATGAAGAGGAGTAGACAGCCTCGACATGAATCCTTTCAGAAGTCACGAGGACTATTCGTTTTGAAGTCTTAATTAATAGAGTGAATGTTCTGGTGTTTCCCAGAGAGAACACCTGCAGCTACACCTGTTCTCTATATATCTATATATAATTATTAGCCAGTTTAAGACTAACCCCAACCCAAAATTCAATATTTTTAATAACTAAATATAATAAATCTATAGCTGTTAGAGGCCCTTTTAGTTGGGGGCCCCAGGAAGTTGCCCACCTTGCCTCACGGTAAAATCTGCCCCCGTTGTTTCCTCCACTGTTGATCATAGCGTTTGCTAAAACACAAATCTGCCCACACCAAGTCTGTGCTTTTCTTGCCTTCAAAGAATTTAATCTTGTGGTGATCTTGAGATATTCAGGACACGCTGCACTTCATCTGGTTGACGATGAGTAACACATGCTGTACATTCCTGCAGTAAGGAGAACCAGAATAATCTCAGGTATTTGAGTGTCCCACGGCCAGTGGACTGTGCACAGTAGGGGGGGGGGGGGGGGGGGG